AATTCATTTGGTTTGTTATTTACATAAGTTGATGTTTTGTTTGTCAATTTTGTTATCTACGGTTTTGAAAATTTGTAGTTTATTGCTGCTTATTTGCTTAAATCACATCGCTTTAACAAACGCATTTAATTCAATAAACAGTCATAAAATTAAAATGTAAATGAGAGTAATTATTCACTGATAATAGATTTTTTTTGCATTCGCTTTCTAAAATGACCTTTTGCGAACTCAGACTCAGAACATCAGCAATTTTGTTTGCTTCAGTCATTACGTTTTCGAAGCTTTCATCTAAACGTATAATTAAAATAGGATTAAAAATTTTAAAACATGGTACCAAGATATTTGTTTAATTCTAATACTTCCACAAAAATCACTAATTTAAAAACAAATTTTCGACTACCACTAGCACAAATCCACTAAGTAAGAAAGCAAACTAATTACCTAAAGGAAATAGGAAATTGGATGCGATCTTAGTATGTATATTTTTTTAACCCAAAAGTTCTAAGACACTATATAAAATTAATAACTTGGCGGCGCAATAGCTTTATTAGAGTTCGAATATTGTAAGATGAACACCTTGAGTCATTTAAATCCAACAAGCCGTTTGAATGGCTCACGGTGTACATCTAACAGTGTTCGAACTCTAATCTTTATAACAGGAAACGGCTAAATGACTGGTTTTTTCACATAACGTTTTGTTTTTTTTTTTGTTTGGTTGTATTTCTCTTGCAGTTTTTTTTTGTTCACTGCAAAATTCAAAATGTTTTTTTTTATTAAATTTTGTTACCGTTTTGGCGCCCCCTTCACTCTGGCGCCCGAGTTGCACCCCCGCTTGTGGCGGCCCTGCACTAGATAAATCTGGTCTATGTTTTCAATACATATTTCTGGATCAAGTGTAGAAATAGAAGACTAAAAAGCAGGAGTATTTGATGGTTCTCAAATAAGACAGAAGATTTTACAACATTTATGAACGACATTGAACTGTTTGACTTGAAAAATTTTCTAGAAAACCATAAAGCCAAGAATTTTGTAGATGTAGTAAATGAATTGATTTCTAGTTTTCATAATTGTATAGGCTATTTAAAATAACGAAGTTGATACCCACTTCAGGTGTAACCGAAAGTACCGATATCTTAAAAATATTTTAACTGAGTAGGACCTAACCGATTATGGCTATAAACAATTTTAAAAAACAATTTTATTTAATTAGAAGTCATTTTTAGATCATAATCTTTAATTAAAAAAAAAACATGGTGGGTTGCCATTAATTTTTTTTTTCCAGAACTCGAAAACTAAAAGAAATTTCGAAAAATGTTATTCTTGATAAATGGTCACATTTTAATTGTACTTTACACTAAACTAATTATTTTTTTCGTAAAGTGCTTAGTTTACGAAAAAAACGCTTGGTTCCATACTTTTTATTCACCTGGTATATAATCTAGTGTTTTACGTAGGACCTTTTTATCTGTTTATAAAGTCTTTTAAAATTCATTTGGTTTGTTATTTACATAAGTTGATGTTTTGTTTGTCAATTTTGTTATCTACGGTTTTGAAAATTTGTAGTTTATTGCTGCTTATTT